ACATCTTTTATAATATGAAGATAATTATTCCCGTAATATTTGTTCTTTCTTTCTTTCGGAATCCTATCTCCGAGGTAGTTAGTCAAATCGTTCAACGCAAAAACAACCAGTTGGAAAAAAATCAAGAAGAGTTTTGCGTGAGCCTACATCAGGAGATATTTTTGTCCGTTATTAAGACAAGTTCAAAGTTTTATTATGGTTATCTGTTTACCGAACCCGCTTCGAAAGATAGCGCGTGTATCTTAGACGAGTCAAGCGTTGGTTCAGTGTCATAATCGCTTAAGCATTTTTCATTCGGAATTTCCCACATGGCGCACCGCTCCACAACTGATTCTCTACCAACACAGGCTGCATGGGATTCGGAACCTATCCTTCTCCTGTGCCGGCCCGAAAATCACACGACCGATCGGGTTCATTTATCGATCGGTCGAATGGTTCAGCCACAACAAGGGACCTGGTGCTTGCCCAGCTAACCCGAGCGAGAAACCACACTATTTTACAGCTGTGAGTCTCAGACAGGCCCAGTGAACTTCGACTGTGTAGCAGGAGTACGATCCGTACTCGGATGAACTGGACGTAACACCAAGAACATTACAAAACGTGCAAGCCGGTAATCAGACAGTCTCGTGTTGGGGTGAGAGATTTTAAGCGTCGCAGATCGCGGAATATGATCCAATCAGATCGCATTGTGGGTCAGAGGGAATTTACTTGCTTAAGGTCACGGGTGAGAGGGCGAGACGATCGAAAACGATGGAGCAATCGCACGATAGAACAAACAATCAAAGTATCCGGGGTGCTGGTTGATCATGACACCTTCCGAATTCAATCCAGTCATTCCTCCGCAACATTTTTCAACAGGATTCATTCGTGTAGTTCGACTGACAAGATGTTACACATTTAATATGGACGCATCCGTTCCAATATAACAAATGATTATCATTTTCTAGTGTTTCTGGCCTCGAAACGGTACCTGACATTTAGGATGTGGTAAATTGGGCGAAGGATGTAAATCTAAAGACTTTGACAAGCTACCAACCCAACATCAATAGATGCTAAAAGAAACCGACAGAGAGACTAATCGCTCAGCGTTGCCAACTGTCAGTCGTTTTGTGGAGAACGGGATGACCACGAAAATGAGTTGAACATTCATCATGACAATCGGGTGAATCATGACTAATTCGTGTTAGGTTCCGAGATCAAGGGGCTTCCATCGTGCTCAATGGTAATGCCTAAAACCCGGGAATATCTTTTAGTTGGGGTGCGAATGTGAACTTTGTTTTTGGTGAAACAGCGTTGTTTCATCTGTTAGGGCACCTGTGAGATGTTAACCAATCAGGTTATGTTTTGGCACATAAATAGAGAACCGCAATGGAGCGAGTTTTTAGTGTTGTGAAAACTTCATTTGGTAATTTTCTACATTATTCTGACATTTACCCAAACGTGATTGAGCAGTATTTTGAATTATAAGTAAAATCAAATTGAAACTCCGGGCATTTCAGACGGACAAGAGAAATTCCTGTTTATGCTACCGGTGAACTCGTAGACGGAACATTCGACCACATGTTTGTTTGGTCCAACCTCAAACTCGGGTACCTTCCAGCACAAACACGATGGTATCATATTCACGGAAAACGTTCCGAAATCAATGCTGGTAATGTTGTGAGTTGTTCAGTTTTGTTAAGGAATGAAACTGCTTTGTTCTGGGATAGCCAATCAGAACAAGGATTACCAAACTGAGGTGATTGGCCGGAACCGCCAACCAACCATGCGGTTAGCAGCCATCCAGTCACCCAATCGACCTCTCTCTACCCTATAAATAATCATGAATTTTGCATAACAAATGATTTCCTACACATTTCCAACTGGGTTCTAAATCAATACCTTTTGATTCCCTATCTGGACGAGAAATGTTCTCGGAATACGATCCTTTGAGACGTCAGTATTGAGATGAACCCTAAGCAATTACTGTAAGCTTAACTTATATCCCTTGTATAAAAACGAATGCGTACAAAGTATAAACGTGAACAAGAACTAGGTCGTTCGAGGGAGTGGAGGTAAGAGGCTGGGGGAATATCGTTTACCTTCCAGTCCACGTTCTGGAGGCGCCAGCAAACAAGTGGGCACTTTGTACACGCAGGCGGCGCATTTTTTCGAACGAATCATCTGCATTTCTTGTGGAAATAGCCACTCGCCGGTGAAAGTGAACTCGTCACATTTCGGACATTGCATCAGACGTTTGTAGCACAGTCCTGACCACGACGACACATTGAGCCGGGTGTTCACATTGGACATGGATCGAATTCGGGTGAGATGTGAATACACCAGGAAAATATTAGCAAAATGAATTGACACAAGGTTGGTGAAATTACACCCACTCGGGTAACAATACCAAAACCGGATGAGACCAGTTTTGCCAGCATGCAGGTATTGACTAAACTCGTACAACATCCTGATTTTCATTACATTTTTAATTTTTGTTTTCATACACAAGTATGATATTGGAGATTGAGATGTATTTCCAGAATGAGAGAGATATTGCACGAGTTTGATCAACATTGAGATTCATATTGATCGTTGTTCGGATTGCCGTTACAATCCAATCTTGATCTGGTTTGATCTCATTTGTGATACGGCTATCTCGTGAGACCCACACTATACTGCCCAATCTACTGTGTATCAAAACNAACCAGCTTTGCGATTGACGTCCAGACATTATTTAAAAAGTACGCGGTTTTAAAATTGTCAAATGAATCTTGCACCCCACCGGTTCCATTTGCAGACAGTCTGCAACAACTTAGTTAACCATCCGCTCCCGCTATCTGAAAAGCTGCTTTCAGTGACAACAATTTTCAAACCGATGTGTATGAAGTACAAATTCAGATGCTAATCAAAATGTACTAATCATAAGAAAAAAATCGACAGCAATTAAGGACTTATTCTATAAATTACTTGATCAGTGTGAGATTTGTGCTAGGTACAATTTACCGTCTCTTTCAGGTAGCATGTGGCGTTTCAATTTGATAAACAAAACATAGTTGACGAAAGCTTTCTCCCTGATCATGTTATTTTAAGAAAGGCTGGTGTATGTGATGCGGATATTCATATTTAAAAACCAAGTCAGAAGTCAAAGCTGGGCCTCTTTCAATCAAGACATGGTTGACCTCAAGGAAGGACGATACAGTATAGTCAATCTTCTGCTATTTACCGCCCCTCGGGAATTCGAAAAAGTACGTAAATTCCAGGAACGGCAACATGGTATGTTAGTCAGTAGTAGATGCTGTGGAGTAGTATGAAAAAACGATTATGAGTTTTGTGACAAAATAAACCGGATCGATGAAGAGTACGTGTATTCCGTTACTTGTTCCCAATGTTTTTCATCATGTGCTGTTTTTTTATAACGGAGTTTCAATTTACCGTCCCATGTATCCTTTATATATTGGAGAAATTGAACTTTTTTATGATTTCCTCAGCCTAATATTAGTACATTGCATCCTGTGTTCAGCTCTTTTTCAGTTTCAAGCGTCTAGTTATCCCGAATCTACTTACCTATCTTCAAGGGAATCTTTTCTGATCAAATTACTACATATTAGTTCCAAATGTTCCTCTATTCCTTTGAAATGTTAGGCTAATCACAGAATTGAGTCTATGGCGTCCACCATAATATATAACTGCTTAGCTGTAATAATTACAACATTAATATTAGTCTATTCGATGAAAACGAGAATGAACCACGTCGAACACAGTGAGAACACCGGACAAAAAACTGCCTTCAAAGAAAATAACTTCATCTAAAATAAGTGAAATATCTATTACGGGGTATGCCCAGTACATTGACATCTTTCTCACATTTTAAACCGGTTTTTCGCTGTTTATTGTTCGTTATGTATGATTTTCTGGTGCAAAATGTGTAGCATTATCTGTGTATAGACATTTATTGATTCATTCACTTTTGCTGTTGCTAGTGTATGTTCAACCCGATTGGTACATTCGTCACGGCTAGTGTCGGTAAACCTAAGTGACGGATTAAGTTCAACCCGTGGTTCACAATTAACAGTACATCGCTCAAACAGCCAGGGGCGCGTCAGACCCGGGCTGCGATGATCTTCGCCCAATGACCTGTCTATTTTCATTGGTGCTCTAGCAAGGACAAGTGCGATTGTCGCTCATTCATTCAAACGGGCGAGTCCGCGTACTGGCGGTTATCGGTCGCTTGGATCTGACATCTTACTCCAGCCAATCGCTTTTATCGTTCATCCGTTTGCACCCTAGTGCGACAGATCCCATCGGTAGACTGCATGGCCGTGGTTTCGGTGACCACGAAAACAAAAATATGATCACCTTCTAGTGTGCCACAGTATTGCAGGAAAAAACTCTTGAAGCTTACGAAGATGTATTATTAGCATTTATAAGCTGTCGTTTGTCTCAGCTTGGCTCTCCTTTGGAAATCAACAAATGCGTTGTTTAAATCAAATGTACAATCCAACCCGAAACCCGAACATTAGCCAAAGCAAACAGCTTCAATTAATCCAGTGCTTCTCCAATTGAGATAACTTCCGGTGAATTGATTGCTCCACATTCATCTGCTTCTTTACAACGCTTAGCTGAATTCAAAACGAGTTCATTTACTGACTAAAAAAAGAGTCTTGATGCCAAAAAGTTAGATAACCCAATTCTTCATCATGAAATTCTAAACAGCCGACTTCTTCTTCAGAAAGACGTTCATCAAGACACACAGTGAGTAAAGTCTTCAATCGGATCTCATTTATCCTCTGGTGGCTGCACTATCAGCTGATTTTCAATGTTGGTTAGAACCCAGGTTTCGTGAAAGCGTTGATCAGTACCTGCGGATGCACAAAGACCCAAGCTGTCTTGACCAGATGCATGCCCAAGAGGATGTCCACTTCGGACTTCATGCTAAGTTGCTCATCTTCAACCAAAGACAAAACAAATTCCGGTAAATGTTTTCGAAACGGACATTTTCAAGACCAAATCACACTCTGATCCATTGGCTGCAACATTGAAGAACAGTTTGGAGGTAGTCGTACTAATTTGACATTGGAGAATACTGCGAGTTGATGGCGGCAAGGGGCGTTGTCCGTAAATAGTAAAATAGAGCACCTTTGGGAAACCATTTTGCGGTTGACATCGGCCAGCCAACTGTGAAATAACGTAGAAATCATCCATAAGCTTTTAAATAATTATCAGTTCCGTGAAGGCTTTTCTATCTATTCCTCACAGACATCATGAAGTTTGAAATCTTCCAATAGCCTACGGTGATAAATTTTCTCCAGTCATGCGCCAGAAAAGCAGTAACTTGACTCTTTCTTTGGATTTCTTGGATCCAGAAGCTGTTTTTCTTTTGAGATTTATTGTTCTCTCTGGGAGTTGCTTGTGATACAAATCTGGCTCATTTGTATTGAAAATATCGCAGTCGGCGTATCCATGGGGCAAATACGGTAACCCCGATGGAAACTCGTCCACTGCATCACGTGGTACCGCCAAACTTTCTCCATAAACCTATAAAGTGATGTACATGAGTAGTTGCTTGTCTGTTACTTTGTAGGAGTGAATATCACGTCTGTCTGACCAAGAGTAAAATCAAATTTTGGAAGCCTTGAAGTCCTGAGGATGAATTCTTTGTGCTAGCTGGATTATTTTCTTACAAATGCTGCTCTCGGCCATGAGGTGGTTCGATGGGATATAACACTGTAAACAGTTTTTCTTGAATTACTTTTTAATTCGGCTACAGAGCTGCAGCATTTCCAACACATTCTAATCGATAGGCGCTAGCACATTTTGAAGTCAAGTGACATTATCTTCGATTGTTGACATCGGTGTATCTTCCTCGCAAAGATTAGCCAATCGGTGAACAGTGTCATGTTCACGTCACACTAGGTGAAATGTCATTGGCGGTGGTGGCCAACTAGAACGTCACCAACTCGTGACCTGGGAGACTCGGGTTCGAACCGCTCCACCACCGCCCATCTTCTCAGGTAGCCTTTGTATGGCTGCGCCCCCCTTTCCTGAATAAATAAATAAATAATGAATAAAAAGGGAAATAAAAAGACATTTATTTTATCATGTATTCATTTTTTATTATATTTCAGGTTGGTTGGTCAATGGCCGTCGCGAAAAAAGGTCAACGACCAAATGAGTAAGTATCGGGAATTGCGGTATATTGAGAGGGCGACATTGCGTGGTCAGAAACTACGTTATTACGCATACGATTGGATATATATATATATATATATTTGTGAGTCTAAATAGATCTGAGATTGCTAGAGTAGAAAAACTATAGCATTATGACGAGATACCAAAGAATGCACTCGACCTTACCTTCATAGGCCAACAACAGAACGTCCAGCGCTTTCAACAAAGGTAAGATCCAGTCCCAGAGTACTTCTTCCGGGACAGGCCAACCGTGCCACTTCGGTTTTACTTTTTTGTGACTCTTTCGTAGTTCCGTTTGCTCCAGTGACCCCGATGTGTTTGGAATCTCGGCCGGATCCGGGTTCACCTCATTTTCAATCGATGGCTCCTCCCTTTCCCTGATCAGACCGCGAAATTCGAAACGCAGAAACGGATCCGCATCGTCTGGCTGGTGTACGGTGAATCGAACGAGAAGCTGTTTTGTGGTGTGACGCATTTGCACTCCGGTTTTCCAGTGTTCCATGTAGTGAAACTGGAGAAAGTGAAGTGGGTGAGTGGAGGGGGGGGAGGGGAGGGAGTAATTTATTCAAAATTTCATAATATTAAGAAAACGAGTTGGTGAGCGAACAATTGTTTTCGGATATTTCTAGTCATGTTCTTACATATCATTTAGTGTTGAGAAAATTAATGACAGAATCATAGCCATTGACCCAATTTATGCGATTAATCGGAGAGTAGATGGTGTGTTTGTGTGCCTGTGTGTGTGTGCTCGTAGGAATGTTTAGCGCGTTAGTTGATGTGACCTTTCCCCACTTGGGTCAAGTGACACGGCATGTTCTGTCTTGGTTTTTTCACACTAGGCCAAATCAGTTGAAGCGCTTGGACCAGCCGTTTTTGGGCACACAGGGTGAGGCCTAGAAAGCGAATAGCGATCACCTCGGCCATAACTAGTGTCCAAATTCGGGCCGCCTTCGATCGGTTGAGCGGGATACGATAAACAACATCAAAAGCCTTATCCGGTTGTATCGTGTGTCCGGTATTCATGACATGACCCTTGATGCCGCTGGAGATGTAATCGGTTTTTCCCTGACTTAACCATGGTGAGTGGTGCCCCTTAACGTATACAGACAAACGCCTAAACGTACGACCTGTGTAACGTGCCACAGACGCAGTTGAAGGAGAAAATTATCATGGATAAAGTCAGTTTCGACACTTTGTTTTTCACTTGCATCCACATCACCGGTGATGTAAAGAACACTTGTTTAAGTTTGGTTGTGGGGTAATTGGAATTTACAGCTGCTCTCAGTGATTGGACCAGGCTCTGTGTGTGTGTGTGTGTGTGTGTGTGTGTGTAAGCCCTTCTTGAATGAGATCCTGGTCTTTCTTGGGAACACAAATGGGGGTTTCCCTTTTCCAGGGTAAGCGGAATATTCTTATTGATGAACTTTTCCGGATAACCATTGTCCTACAGTATTTGGCGGATCAGGCGTAATTCTTCATCCAGTGTGTCTAATGAACAAATCTTCCGGGCTCTGAAGGCTGGACACCAGAGTAGATTGCGTTTGTATTCCGCTATATTTCATAATATGGTAGATACACAAAATCAAAATCTAGGAAGACGATTGCAAACAACTGAAGCTGTCGAACAACAAGTATGAACGCTATTTGATGATTTTAGGAATTTAGTCACTTGATTATTCATCCAGATGCGAACACAGTCTACGGCTCCACTGATTTATCAACTTCAGAAATATGGGTATCAATGATTAGTATTATATTGATGTCACTTTCATGTTATATTTCATATGCAGCAGACGAAAAATTTATATAACTCTTAGTAGTGCTTTCGGTGAGATACAGAGATACAGACGCAACTATTTCTCTCTCCTCTGCCTATTTGTTCAGTTTTTATTGGACTGTTTCGTCACTTACCAGAGATTCACCCATTTCACATGCACTTACTCTATCAACAAGGCTGGTGATGGGACATTTGCAATCAAATTGTCAAGCTCCGGGAGAACAGGAAAAATGGAATGCTTATTGTCAGATCTATCCCCCCCCCATCGATCGCTTCTTTGACCGCCGTCTGCAAGCCGCTTTACCTTTGCCTCTTCTGTTTTTGTTTATCTGATTCCACGACTATATGAATTTACTCTAATCACGTCATTTATGGACAACTCTACTACGGTGGATCAAAAGTTATAAATCGATCTGCAAATATCAACCTGTCTAGTAATTCTTCTAAATGCGCAGATGCCATTTTCCTTACACCCCAAGCAGCACCGTTGCTAATACCCCTTTTGGGTACATTAGTGACAAATCGACCTTCTTTTATCGGACAAAAAACCCTCGCTTTTCTATTAAACCGAGACCTTAATTCGTCAGAAAGTGAAATTTACTTCAGGATACTCCTTTTGTATGTTCTTTTTTGCCACAAATCTTCTTCTGCGCGTCTTTATCTTATCAAACGATGTACATGTGCTTGAGTTTCATTCTACCTCTGATATGCACAATATCAGGTACTGTTATATGGTCCCTTTGCCGAGTGTATGTAGTATTTGAAGTAGGTACGGATTACGAATCACAGACACAAGTGAAACACCGAATAGCACTAGTACTTGTACGCTGGAATTTCCCGTCATCCAGACGCAAGAAAAAGGCCACAGAAGCAGCAGTTCGTTTATTGAAAAAAAAATCAATGGGATTAAATGACATGTACAAAGGAAGCTTATTGGTTATACTGGTAGCAACCAATGGCCTACTTGTAGTCTTGACGTCATACAGCTTCTGTCTGGACCACTCAACTTCTGATTGGTCGGCACGATTGGTCTGTGGTTCGCTGTCCAGAAACTGTAACGCGTCGCTCCGTAACTGGTGTCATTTGGGAGGGTTGATTCACCACCTCATACCTCAGACGGTACGTAAACCCTGAAAATATGCATCTCCATGGAGTGGTTCACATCACACACAAATAATAGAACCTGCAGTAACACTATTTCGCTTTCTAAACACCATCCCTTTTCTCATGTGAAGACCCTGTTTTGTTTTATTTCCGACTATTACGAATTCTCTCCCCTACGATCTCGGATTTGGCACAAGCACCCGGCGAGTCGCGTTATGTGCTTGCCATTTGTAAAGCATCATACTGCCGGTCCATGAACACGTGTGAACACTCGTTATTCAGTTAGTCCAGTTTACACCTCAGGACCAAAGCGCTAAATAAGACAGATGAAACCGATTTGGTTACGCATTACGGCTTTGACCGTTCGTCTTAGATGCTAAAAACCAACTTTTCCAAGCACGTAAAACTTTTGCAAGGAAATATTTGGCCAATTCACAGCGAGTTCAGCAAGTGTAGATAATCATGCGGCCCTAATTCCAGATTCAATTACTAATTCATAAAAATACCTGCAAAGAAATTCATCGTTGTTGTATCCGGTATGAGTCAGTAAGTACGCAAGTAGTGAATTAAGTAGTAATTATATTTCCAGTATGTAAACGCAAACGTAGCCGGCCCGTAAGCCGGTGAGCAAGCAGAGCGTCAACACGCACACAGGCAGACACAGAACTGGCGCAAGTCTTACCAAAAGGAGTGTCATCACGCTGGGCAGTCAACGGACCAATCAATGAGGAGAGATCAATACTGACCTCTGATTCGCTGAGGTGGATCGACCT